AGTGTTTTGTTTTTTTTTTTTTTTTAAAGATGACCGGTAAGGGGATCTTAACCCTTGACTTGGTGTTGTCAGCACCATAAAAACATTTTATGTTTTTTTTGAAATTTTTTTTATATATTTTGACAGCTGGCTGGTCTGAGGAACTGAGCCCTTGACCTTGATGTTACAAGTCTGTGCTCTAACGAACTGAGCTAACCAGCCAGCAGAGACTTGTCAAAGAGAGAATGGCTTGTGCGGGGATCAGCGTAAAGGGGCGAGGTGGGCAAGCAGAGCTGGGGCAACATGGCTAATCAGTGCCTGGGTGATGGCGGGGTATCGAGTCTATTCTCAACCTAGATTTTAGAATTGCTGTGATGCCATGGTAGCAGACCAGTGAATCTGCAGCTCATATGCCAGCAGTGATACACTTGGTTCCATCCACTTTGCCAGCTCCACTTTCCCCCTGTAAGCAGGTGGTAGAGAACAGGCCTGGCCTCCTCAGGGCTCCCCCAGCATGTGTCAATGTGCAGAGCTGAGCCAGGCCATGGAGGGCTTGTGCAGAAGGCTGAGGGATTCACACACTGGGCTGAGGGCTGAAGGTCGCCAGCAGATGAACTTATTCCGCCCGTGCAATGCTTGAAAGTTTTTTTTAGGGGGCTGGCCGGTTAGCTCAGTTGGTTAGAGCACCGCCTTGTAACACCAAAATCATGGGTTCAGATCCACATACCGGCCAGCTTCCCAAAAAACAAAAAATTGAAGAGTCACCAGTGCTGGGTCCCGTTGCTGCCTTGCCACACGTGGCTGCATCTGAACAGCAGGTACTGCTGGGGTCAGGGTGCTCAAACCCCAGCAGGGCATTCATGGACACCCCCACCCTGTTCCATGAGCACCTGTGTCTCTTGCCCCCGCTGTGGGCAGTGGGAAGTCAGTAGCATACACCAGGGTCACGTTTGAGAAGGACAGCTAAGTGTTTGAGGTGGTGGCAGGCGAGGACCAGCTGGGATGCGTGGGTCACACTCCACAGCTGCGGGAGGAGTGTATCTGGTGGGCCAATCCCCTTCCTCTGGGGGCTTTGGGCCATGGCATTGTTTCATTCTTAGGATACTTCTAAATCTAGTCTTAATGGTGCATCCCTAAAAAGGACATGGTGAAGACAAGGAGACGTGGTACCACATCACATGCCCTGTGTGAGGTGTGACCCCTGGTCCCTGCTCCCAGGAAGAGAGGTGCTGACCACTGTCCTGTCTGCTGTCTTGTCCCCAACAGAGTTGTGGGGTCGACTTTGAGGTCAAGGCATTTGCTGCAGACAGCACAGATTGCGAAGAGGACAAAGTCTCCAAGAAGTAAGAGCGTAGTTGTGGGAGCAGGTGAGGGTCGGGTGTGTGTGGCGGAGATAAGAGACTGCCCCACTGCATCTCTGTGTGACAGGACTCTTCCTGCAGGGTGAATGTGGCTGGGGTAATGGAGCCTCCCCAGATCAGGGCAGTTAAGGACAGAACAGGCTACATGCAGGGTGGGGTCAATGGTTGATCATTTGGAGAAAAGAAACAAAAGAAAATGACAAAGGAGTCAGCAAATTTAAGGTCTTACATTAGCTCCTAAAAGCTTCCAGATTCCCTCTTCTTTTAGTTTTCTTTGCTTTTAAAAAACTTTTTTTTTTTTTTACTCGTGGTAAAATATACATAGCATGAAGTTTAGCGTGGTTTACCATTTGAACCACTCTTGAGTTTGCAGTTCAGCGACATTAAGTCCATTCATCATGCTGTGTAACCCGAGAAAACATTAAGCAATAGCCCCCTTCCCACCGTCCTCCCAGCCTGTGCTCAGTTTTCTCTCTGTCCCTGCACAAAAGCTGACTTGCCCCTCGACTTGCCCCTCGTGTGTCCTCATGCTCAGCAGAACGTCCCTTGGGCCTGGGAGGACTAGTGCTGCGCCCACTACACCCAGCGCTCTCCAGCCGGGGAGTCACAGAGAAGGGACCAGAAATCAGATCCCCCAGCTTCCCCTGTCTTCAGGGCTGCCTCAGGCTCGACCAGTGTTCTGTCCCGCTCTGGTCCATCCTGTCTCCGCTGGGAGCATTCCTGCAGAATCCCAACGTGACTGATGGGTGCCAGGCTGGGGTGTCCCGAGGCGGCATGACGTTAATGTCAGGAACCATCTGGGACTTTGTCTGCAGGAGCTCGGTGCGTTTACTGATCCGGAAAGTGCAGCATGCTCCACCTGAGATGGGTCCCCAGCCCCAAGCCGAGGCAGCCTGGCAGTTCTTCATGTCTGACAAGCCCCTGCTCCTCAAGGTGTTCCTTGGCAAAGAGGTAAGCCACCATGCGCTGGTGCCCCTCCCCAGCCCAGCCTTCTTGCTGAGCAGGTGCAGCAGGCCAGCTTGTTTCCAGGACAGTTAAAGCACCAGCATTTCTGAATGCTTGGCTTTTTTTTCATCATTTGGAGCTGGTCACCGTGACCCTTAGCATGGGGTCAACCTGGCTTGCGTTCCACTCACTGGCGGTCCCCGTAGACTGGGGGGTGGAGGGAGGTGGTTTTCACATGCCCCCTGCCCCCAGCTATCTCTGTCCTCTCTCTGTCTCCACGGACCTTGTCCACTAACGTAGCATCACTAGGTGTGGTGTCCCTAATTGTTCACTTGCCTGGAAGATTGGGCTTCACAGAAACCACTCAGGGTGGTGGTGTCATGTGCCATGTCATCTATTGGGGTGTCGTGGTGGGAAAAGGTGAAGAGCTGCTGGCCGGGCTGTCTCTGGTCCCTCTGGTTGCCAACAGTCAGTCATGTACACATGTTGGCAAGAGCCCACCGTCCAGTGTGTGCACGTGCATGTGGGGGGTGCATGTGCAAGGGCACGCCCACCTGGGGCTAGTTGCACGGGGTCCCTGCTGGGAGAAGCCCTTCACTCGGCTTTCCCAGTGGTTTCCTTCCATTTCACTCACCCTGCCCCGACACCTCATGGTTCTGCTGAAGACATCCTCCTCCCCTGATGTGACCCGCAGAACTCCATTGTCCTCCCATAGACCAAGCAAAATGTGTTCCAGACCCTTCTCTAGAGGAAACATGCTGCTATCACTTCATCTTCCTTAAAAGTACGGGAATTCGGCCACTTTTATTCTGTTGAAGGGATTGAGATGAATCTAGAAAGCCCTGAAATTAAAAATGCCGCCACACTCTGCTCTCCTTTTCTGACTTATCCACTCACTTTTTCAGATCTATTACCATGGGGAACCCATCCCTGTGACCGTGACTGTGACCAATAACACAGAGAAAACAGTGAAGAAGATTAAAGCTTTAGGTAGGCCTTTCTTCTAAAAACTAGAGGGCAGAACAATAACACAGAGAAAACAGTGAAGAAGATTAAAGCTTTAGGTAGGCCTTTCTTCTAAAAACAAGAGGGCAGAATCTTCTACAATTTCTTGGCCTGAGCCGAGGGTCACTCCTCGGGTCCGATAAGGCTCTTCTGGGTCCTTAGAACTGCCTGTTTGTTGTCATAGGCAGCAGGACCTAAGAGGGATAAAGGCCTTAAAAATCATCTCATTCAACCTCGTGCCCATTCGGGGCTGTTTTTTGTCTTGGTCCATCACCCCTGACATGTGATCTTCCTGTTTTTCCATGGTCCTGCCTTCCCAGAGGGGCCGTGCTGTGCCAGATCTCAAGGAAAACCATGGCAGGAGTTTGCCTTCTCTTATCAGGGAGGGTGACCTCTACTTTCAACTTTTAACTCAACATTTGATGACCAAGACAAAAGTTAAAACAATAGTGTCTCAGGGTAACCAACGATCCCAGGTTGCCCGGGACTAAGGACATGGGACTTTCAGTGTTAAAATGGGCTCATCCCAGGCAAACCAGAATGGTTGGTCATCCCAGGCATCTTACACCACTTTTCCTCTTTTCCTGTGTGTCCGACATAGGTGAGGTTCAGGAATTTTGATGCATACATACAGAATAGTTCTAGATTTTTCTTGTTGCTAATATAAACACTTAATTTACAATTTTGTTTTATGTTGGTTTAGTTCATATGCTTTTAGGTCTTGGTAGGACCTGGAGTTACTTACCATGTTGTATGTTGGGTCTAATACAATGCTCCACAAAAGTAGCTGGTGTCTTGGTCCATTCAGGCTGCTATAACAAAAACACCATAAACTGGGTGGCTTATAAACAACAAATATTTATTTCTAACAGTTCTGGAGGCTGGGATCAAGGCGCAGCAGATTCCGTGTCTAGTGAGGGTCATTTCCTCATAGACGGTGCCTTCCTGCTGTGTCCTCACATGGTGGGAGGGCAAACAGTCTCCCTTGGGCCTTTTTTATAAGGGTACTAACCCCATTCATGAGCACTCTGCTCCCATGACCTGTCATCTCCCAAAAGGCCTCACCTCTTAATACCGTCTCCTTGGCGTTAAGATTTCATCGTATGAATTTTGAGAGGACACAAACTTTCAGATCACACCATAAGAATTGATAAAGTATCACTTAATTTTTCTTTTTTCTTATTCTTTTTTGGCAGCTGGCTGGTACAGGGATCCAAACCCTTGACGTTGGTGTTATCAGCACCACATTCTCTCAAGCGAGCCACCTGCCAGCCCTCACTTGATATTTTGATTTTAAATTGTTTCTCAAATTTATGAATCCTAATACAAAGCCACTAACTTAAAAGAGGCTATTGAATTTTCTGAAACAAAATGTTAACAGCTTTCTGTAAGCTGAGCACAGTGCTGAATGATTCACACAAATTGTTTCTTTTAATCCTCAACCTTGATTTTAAACGAGATTAAAAGTAATCTTTTCAATCTTCACAACTTCCCTATGAGTTAGATGCAGTTATCACCTCCATTTTACTGATGGGGAAACAGAGGCTTAGAGGAGCTGAATAACTACTAAACAGAGATTTGAGCCCAAGAAGTCTGGCTCCAGGGCCCACCTTACACCCATGAGTCAATCCTATGGTGCCTCTAGATGGTTCCTAGCTTAGAGAACAGGAAGGATGATGCTCACAAAATAGGATAGAAGATATTGGCAGGGAGCTGGGTTTGGAGAAAGACGGTGGTGAGTTTTGGAACGATGGGAGAGGTGGCCTTTGAAGGGTCCCCAGGTATATATCCTTAGCTCAGAAGAGAGGAGCGGTCTCCCAGGAGTTGCATTCTTGGGAGCCTGGTTCATGGTGGGAGTTGACACAGAGCATATTATTGGTGAACAGAAATGCCTGGGGACAAAACTTGGAAATTGCAGCCTTTAAGCGGTGGGCTGAGAAAGCTGAGTCTGGAAGTAGACTAAAATGGTCATCAGAGAGAAAGGACCAGCTGTGTACCCTGGAAGGCTGGGAGGGACCATGCATGTGCTCATAGGGACCCAGCGCTGATCCTCTGACTCTTGTCCTCCCTTTGCAGTGGAACAAGTGGCCAATGTGGTTCTCTACTCGAGTGATTATTACGTAAAGCCAGTGGCCATGGAGGAAATTCAGTAAGTAGCTGGTTGCGTTTCTGTTTCCTGGGCGGCCCAGCCTTCTTTGTCAAGTTCCTCTTCTGTTTATCATTGACAAGGGAAATGGAATGCTCAGCCAGCCCTCCGGCTTTTCGCTTCCTTCCTCTTTTCTCACTTCAGGGACTGTAAAGAAAGTTAGCATCTTAGCTCTGTGTTTTTACCTTAACCCCATGCCACCCATCTCTCAGGAGTTCCGAGAGATCGGGCCATGCTAAAGAATGGCGGAGAGGAGAGAAAGATCGAAATGTCACCATGGGAATAGCTGGGCCTTTCTATTTATCCTTGGAATGAGTTGCTAGGAATTTGGTACTATTTCTGTCCCCCAGCAGATAGTCAAATGAACTGTCAGCCCAACAAGGGTTCTCTATCTTTTGATCTCCTCCTCAATTTGAAAATCTTGTAGCAATGACAACTAGATTAGAATGGCGTATCTATTCTTAGCCCGTTGTTGTGAATGACTTCTCCCTTCATTAGAATCAAAAACAAATGAGAATCCTGCGATGTCACCTTCATGCTGGCATGAGAGACCCACAAGTTTTGCTTTGTGCTAGGAAGTCAGACAGGTTCATTCAATACACGGGCTTGGGACGGAATAACAATCTCCCCTTGAGAGGATAGCTTGGGAAGGTTTTCTCTCCGTCTAGCCAGCAAGTTCTAAGCACCATAGTATGTAAAAAATATTACCAGGGTTAGAGGAAGGTTGGGGCAGGGAGGGGAGATTTGTGGCAAGGAAAGGCAAACTGACTCATTAAGGTTATATTACATAATATTTAAAAGGCAAATCTAGCATAACCTATTACTCATAGCAGACTCAGCCTTAGGTTTAAATATAAGTCGACAGGGGAGGGAAGCAGGAAAGAGCCACCATGTGTTGCCTGCCTCTTTACGCCAGGACTGGGCTCTGTCCTGCCTCTTAGGGTCATCCTTGCACGTCCATTTGCCCTGGGGGTCGTGGCCCTAGGCCTTCTTTTGGCAAATGCTCAGCAACAATGGGACAAATGGTCTTGGCTGAGTTTCCCCCTAATATGTACCCCATTATCTGTTTTTATTCCTCATATATTCCTCATTATCTGGTCCTCTTTTAAACTCTTGGGTGCATTGGGGCCAAATGATTTCCGGGAAATGGAAAACCATTCTAAGGTCCTACCAAGGGCTCTTAGGAGGCTGGAAACTGGGCCAGACTATACTAGCGGGTCTCAGACTAGAGGCCACTCAGAAGGCTGCCATTGTCTCAGAAACCCATGGCTGTTCGGCTCTGGTGTGCAGGCCCCCAGCTGCTGCCAACCATCCAGTCCCAGATCCTGGAGGTGCTGGGAAGTGGCCCCAGGGCCTTGGTACATTCCTGTGGCAAGCTCTGCTGCACGAAAGGTCATCATCTGAGCCTATGCCTGAGGGCTCCCTTCCTACTAGGGTCACCTTGACAATGCAGTTTCTGCTTTTGTCAATGCTGCTGCCCAAATCAAGCTCATCAGAGAGGTTCCACTGGGATCCAGATGGGAGGATGTGGCCCACCTTGGCTCAAACAAAATTCTGTAAGAGCTGTCTGTATACCTGGAGGCGGAATAAGCCACAGCTGCTTCACATTCCCCAGGGAAATCAAATAGGGAAGTCCTTCCCGTGGGAGGCAGTTCAGATTTGCAGCCGTCCCAGGACAAGCTCAGGAAAAGGTCCTGATGCTGGCGCCTGAGCAGTGCTTTCAGGCCATGCCCTGCCTTCTTCTGGCCAGGTACATGGGTGTGGGGTGTGCTTCTAGTACACATGGGTTCTGGGGTGAGAGAAGGTGCCACTGTGTGACCATGGGTGTAGGGTTGGCAGAGGATGAGGTGAGAGCACCAGGCCTGGTGTGCAGTGCACATGTGAATGGTGGAGCCAGCCCTCCAGCTCAGACGCTGCTTCGGGATCCCAGCTATGCAGCCAGCCCTTGGAGAAACACATGCTGCTGTGTCCCTAGCTCGATTCTAGACCCACCATTTGGCACAGGGCCCTGCCATCTGTCACATGTTGGGAAACCCCCAGTCCAACTGAAAATGAAGAGATCCTGTAGCGCAGGAGCGTGTGCTGCTTCGGACCCAAGCCACCTGGTCTGTGTGGTTCGCATATGGACTGCTTCACCCTTCTCGACAAGCCCCCACGTGGTCACACACTGATCCCGCTGCCAGCCTGGGCTTGTCTGGAGCCCATGTGGGGGTCACAGAGTCTCAGGAGGAGACCGGCTGTGGTCTCTGATTCTTGGGCCAGTTAATCTTATTTAACCGCACTGAATGTTCTGGTAATCCAGCAATTCAGAGCAGGGAGAGAGGCTTGAGGAAATGTCCTAAGGTTGCTGCCAACTTGCTCTGAGATTTCACTAACACTGTTCTGCTCCTCGTCAGGCAAATCCGCAGGCACCTGAACTGATCTTCCCAGTAAGTCCATATGGGAACTTTGATCTGGAAATGCTCAATGGCAAATAGGATCTCGTGAGGTTGATAGTGGCTTTTATGGTTATAAGTCTCTTGTCTGCTTTTCTTCCTCCAGAGAAAAAGTGCCACCAAACAGCACTCTGACCAAGACACTGACGCTGGTGCCCTTGCTGGCCAACAATCGAGAGCGAAGGGGCATTGCCCTGGATGGGAAGATCAAGCACGAGGACACGAACCTTGCCTCCAGCACCATGTGAGTCCTCGCAGCGTGGCAGATGGTGTCAGTGTGGGGCTGGCGCCACTCCACTCCCCCTCTGTCTGCCCCTGGCACGCAGGTGTGCACCTGCAGCACTACGGGCTGGCACTGTGGGTGCAGAACGCAGGCTTAGGGCAGACAAGGGTCCCACTTCTGCCCTGGTCTGATGGGGACACCCTTGTGGGCCCTGGAGACAGCCTTGTGCTAGCCCCAGCTCCCCTGCCTCCCCTTTGGCAACTCTGGGAAAATGATGTGAGCTGAGACCCTCAGTTTTCCCATCTGTAAAGTGGGAGTGAAGATAGTTCCAATCTCATAGAGTGATTACAAGGATTAAGTGAGACAATCCTTAAAAACATGGTTCCTGACAGTAAATACCCCATGTATGTCAGCTGCTACTCTTCAAAAACCCATTAGCCTGTATAGTGCTGTAAGCGTATAAACTGAGGCGTGCAGTTGGCTATGATCATTCATTCATTTGGTCATTTCCGTCAAGAAAGGTGAAGAATGGGAGGTCCTGATGGCTATAGATGTCAATTAAATTTAAATGAAAATAAGACTGATTGACTGACCCTGGCTCAAAGAACCACTGGTCGAATTTAGGCAGCAGATGGAGCAAAACTATATAATGAAGCTCCAAAGTCAATTTCGCTGCCGCTCCTAGCCATCGTTTTAGGCTTCCATTCCCAGGATCACATTGGATCACATGAGATAATAATCTGTGGTAAAATGCCCAGCTTGGTGCCTGTCAGATAGTAGCAATTCACTATGGTGTTAGTGGAATCTGAAATGAAGTTTCTGTTGAGGATAGTTACATCACACCCTCTTTGGGGCACATCTGAGAGTCTCATGCACCGCATTCATTCACTTAAACATTTACTGAGCTCTCACTTGGTGCCAGGCACAGTACTGCTGGGTGCTGGAGCCACAGAGCTGTCGGGAACAATCATGATTCCCTGGGATGAGGGCTATCACAGAGGGTCCACATGCCTTTTCCTGTGAGCAGAGCAGAGAGGAGGGTGACCCAGTGCCACCTGGCCGGCGTCCAAGGAGCCTTCACAAAGGCGGGGCTTGGGGGATTAACTTGAGGTCTTCGGGGCCAGGAGAGAAGGAGGAAGGTATTCTGGGGCAGGTTTGTATTTGGCAAGGCTGGTACATCAGGGCGCTGGGGCATAGCCAGGTGTGAGATGGCAAAGGCAGGCCAAGACCAGCTCTCAGATGACCTGCTAAGGCTTGAACCTGGACACTCTCTCAGGCTGCAGAACAGCTGGAGGGCCCAGAGAAGGAGCCTGCAATGTGGGAGACAAGTTCCTGAGATAATCCAGGCAAGGAAGCCTGTGGGAGGACTCAGTGGCCCCCAGGGATGGCAGTTTGGGCAGGTGGAGGAGAGGGTGGAGCCAAGGAGAATGAGTTTTGGCTGGATGACCAGGTGATGGGCATCAGCGGAGGTGAGCATGGACGCAGAGGAAGCACACTCTGCCCTCTGTGAACCTGCAGAGGGGAAGACGCAGGAACTTCTCCACTGCGTGGAAGGAACTCCCCCGCCCTCCCTGCAAGTGTGTAACGTGCTAGGACTTTGGTAGCTTGGTCGAGTTCACCAGTTCATGGAGAAGATGCTTCCATGACAGAGTGCCTGGGTGGGAGATAAAAGCGTTCTTTTGTCTGCTCTTTGCTCCTCACTTCTCTCCTGCATCCTTCTCCTCTTCCTTTCTTTTGGGGCAGCATTAAGGAGGGTATAGACCGGACCGTCCTGGGGATCCTGGTGTCTTACCAGATCAAGGTGAAGCTCACGGTGTCAGGGTAAGTGTCCCAGCACCAGCGCTCAGTCTGCTCTGTCCTGGCCTTCGACTGCCTGAACTGTTCCTTTCCTGAATGACTGGGAGACAGAAAGCAAGGGAAGGCCCTGGACCCTACTGACTCCCAAGCAGAGTTTGGGAGGGTTCTGTTTGTCTAGTTCCACAAGTCTGTCTCATACACGGTCAGATGGTAAAAGGTATAAAAGCAGCCCTGGGTAGTTCAACCCTCAGAGGCAAGTCCGTGGGTATGTGTCTTTCTTTCTTTTTTTTTTTGTGACGGGTAAGGGGATCGCAACCCTTGGCTTGGTGTCGCCCGCACCGCGCTCAGCCAGTGAGCACACTGGCCATCCCTATATAGGATCCGAACCCGTGGCCTCGGCACTGGAGTGTCGCTGCACTCCCAGCGCCGCACTCTTCCGAGTGAGCCACAGGGTCGGCCCCGTGGGTATGTTTCTTTTTTTTTTTAAAGGATGACCGGTAAGGGGATCTCAACCCTTGGCCTGGTGTTGTCAGCACCACGCTCAGCCAGTGAGCAAACCGGCCATCCCTATATAGGATCCGAACCCGTGGCCTTGGTGTTATCAGCACCGCACTCTACCGAGTGAGCCACGGGCCGGCCCGTATGTTTCATATTTGCAAGTATTTAAAGAGTTTCCCAAATTTTGGTTAGGGCAGCAAAGTAGAACATGAGTTACTTTGCATATTTTATTAGCACAGTGTTTGTATTTGTTGTGTTTTTCAAAGTGAGTAGTCCTTTCTATAAATAGGGTAGAGTTTCTTTTAGCCGTCAAGAATAGGGAATTAGCAGGTATTTCACAATGACCTCTGTGCCTGAGAAATTCTGATTCTATGGCTTATTCTTTTTTTGTTTGTTTGTTTTTTAAAACGTGACCGGTAAGGGGATCTCAACCCTTGACTTGGTGTTGTCAGCACCACACTCAGCCAGTGAGTGAACCGGCCATCCCTATATGGGATCCGAACCCGGGGCCTTGGTGTTATCAGCACCGCACTCTCCCGAGTGAGCCACGGGCCGGCCCCTATGGCTTATTCTTGAGCAATAGGGCTTGAGTCCAAGTCATTTTTTAAAAAACTAATCCTTCTGAGGAAGAGATGAAATCCCAAGTAGAAAGGAGGAATGAAATGAATGGCAAGGGGTGCGAAGATCCTGGCAGTCGTGACTTAGAAAGTAAGGGGCAAGAGAAGTGGGCTGTGTCCTGCCTCTGAATAATGGGAAATGCAGTCACCATTGGGGACAATCACCACAGCTGTTTGTTTTTGTGTTTCCTAGCTTTCTGGGAGAGCTCACCTCCAGGTAAGCCACTTCTCCTTCCTTCTCTGCTTGATTCCCAGCATGTTAAAGACACCAAACCTGGGGCTCCAGATCAGTAACTGGTGAATGCTGCTTTTGGGGCAGCTACACTCAGAGGTCCCATGAAATGATGCCCACTGCCTTCAGATGCATCATGAAAACCTTGGCAAATAGGTGTGAGGCTGGGATGCTTCTTTGAGACCACAGCTTGGCCTGCACCTGGGTAAGGATATACACTCACACACACACACACACACACCCAGAAAACTGGCACACTCTGTGTGGCTGGCTTGTGTGTGTGCGTGGTAAAATACACATAACAAATTTTACCATTTAACCATTCTAAAATGCACAATTCAGTAGCATTAAGTACACTTACAATGTTATGAGGCCATCACCACTATCTAGTTCCAGAACATTTTTACCACCCAAAAAGGAAATTTCGTACCTATCAGTAGTCACTCTCATTTCCCGTCCCTGCAGCTCTTGGCAGTCACTATTCTGGATATTGCATATAAATGAAATCACATAATATGTGGCCTTTTTCTGATTGATTTCTTCCACTTACCATAATTTCTTCCAGTTTATGCATGTTGTAGCATGTACTGGTACTTCATTCCTTTTTTTTTTTTTTTTTTTGTCCTTTTTGAGACCGGCCGCACCGCGCTCAGCCAGTGAGCGCTGTGAGCGCACCGGTCATCCCTATATAGGATCCGAACCCGCGGCGGGAGCACTCCTGCGCTCCCAGCGCCGCACTCTCCTGAGTGCGCCACGGGCTCGGCCCCTTCATTCCTTTTTATGGCTGAGAAATATTCCATTGTATGGATGGACCACATTTTGTTTATTCATTCATCTGTTGGTGAATATTTGCGTTATTTCCACCTTTTGGTTATTACAAATATTGATGCTGCCTTTTAAGTCGTGCACAAAGCAGCAGCAAGTTAGGAAGTGTTGTTCAAGGCAGTCATTGGCCTTACATCCCCCTTGCCCCAACTCTTCTCATCTCTCCCTCTCCTGGAGCACAGGCTGCACCTTTTCTCCTAGACCTCACCTGCTGCACTGTAGACAGAGGTGCTTTGACTGCAGGTAAACCCTGGGTGGAGAAAGGAGTAACCCTGGTTTTCCCACCCATCCCCCACTTTTGCATTCCTCCTTTCTCCAGATTTCCCTTCTGCTTTCCTACCTGCCTCCTTTCCTTCCTTTTTTTTGGCAGCTGGCCTGGATGAGGATCCAAATTTTCAACCAAGACGTTGCAACACTGCACTCTAACCAACTGGGCTAACTGGCCAGCCCCCTTTCCTTCTTTTTGTGCAAGTTCCAAGTCTCCCCAAAGCCCTTCTGGGTTTGGGATTCAGTGGACTCTGCTCTGCTCTTCTCTTGAGCAAGAGACTTGATGCTCACACCATGATGCACCAGCTTCACAGAGATTTTAACATATTAAAAATGGTATACATTGCTGCAAAGAATATTTTCAAAAACTATCCTTTTTCCAGGATTTCACCTCTTCCCTACCCACAATATTATGTCACTGCAACTAATAACCAGGAGTAGAGGGAACCTAAAAACATTAGCTGCCTCAGTCATGCGTAAGTGAAGTTTCTGGTCCACATTCCAGGGAATATATTTAAAATTCCTACTTGACCACTTCCTGATTTCTGGTTTGTCTTTAATCCCCTGAATTGTCTTTCAGCTTGGGCCTGGGGATCTTTTGCAACTCTCTGCAGCCACAGCTCTTGGCTGTGTGATTTGCAGTTGTGTGTGTGTCCTCACCAATCTGCATTCTGCTTTTTTTTAGTGAAGTGGCCACCGAGGTGCCATTCCGTCTCATGCACCCCCAGCCTGAGGACCTAGGTCAGTCACACCACTGTCTTGGCTTTCTCTTGTTATTTACTACTTGCAGATTTATTATCTATTCATTCCTAGTCTTTCTTGACCATACCTCTGAGCACAGGAGTAGCCAGGTATACCAGGTTCCATGTCATCTCCCGGGTGACTAGGCCAGTTGGGAAGGGTGGGGTCATCTATCTTTTCAGTACTGAGCCAGGTAGTTTGTCCACCTTCAGTTAGTGTGTGGAGGATCCTTGCTCTCGGACAATGATCTTGTGAAGTTTTAGCAGGAATGGTTTAAAAGCAGAATCTCTGGGCCGGCCCGTGGCTCACTTGGGAGAGTGCGGTGCTGATAACACCAAGGCCACGGGTTCAGATCCCTATATAGGGATGACTGCTTAGCTCACTTGGGAGGGTGTGGTGCTGACAACACCAAGTCAAGGGTTAAGATCCCCTTACCAGTCATCTTTTTAAAAAAATAAATAAAAGCAGAAGCTCTGCTGTCAACAGACCTGGATTTAAAGGTGATTTAGTTAAAAAATAAATTTGAGTGCCTGAGGCATTTTGCATTTCATTTGGAAACAAAGGACCTCATTTTTCATTTGGAAGCATTAACGGGCATTTAGAAGATGATCAATATTTTTGACAGTGGCCGCCATGATGAAAATACAGATAATACTAGAAAAGAGGGTCAGGCTGGTTTCTGACACCTCAGCCTATTTGAATTGTAAATCCATTGGCTCTTGTGTGGATGCTGGATGAGGCAATAGTTGTACATCTTGGTGAACATCTCAAACCATTGGACTGTACACTGTAAAGACATGAGTCATGTGGAGTGTGAATCGGATCTCAGCTCTTTTTAAAAAGGTAAAACTGAAGCAGCAAAAAGAATATAGGTATGATCTAAGGGATTCCAGGGAAAATTCTCCACCATGTGTTAAGGCCGCTGAGTTTACATTAAAGAGAAATGAACCTGTCTGAATGAGAACTCTCCATAGCTATAGTAATAAAGAATATATATGTGTGTGTGTGTGTGTGTGTGTGTGTATATTATTATTATTTATTTTTATTTATTTATTTATTTATTTTTTTAAAAGATGATCGGTAAGGGGATCTTAACCCTTGACTTGGTGTTGTCAGCACCATGCTCTCCCAAGTGACCTAACCGGCCATCCCTATATAGGGATCCAAACCCGTGGCCTTGGTGTTATCAGCACCACACTCTTCCAAGTGAGCCACGGGCCGGCCCTAGCCATATGTTTTAAATTCATTTATGCTTGTATCCTTACACTACTATTTCTTAACTATGTGAGATTAAGATGCTTTCTGGTTCCTTTCAAGGATATTAAAAAGGTAATCACGCGAAGAAATGTCACAGTTCATGTTGGGTTGTTTTCTAGAAATTTGAACAGACTTTATGACTTAATTTGGGAGAATTGTAGTTATTCTTTCTTCACGTATGACACTTTCCTGTTCCAGTCATCACGGCCCTTCCATTGAACATCTCACAATGCCAATGCCAAACAATGGTCTTTTGTATTGTGAGATTTCAGGGAGCAGAGTTAGAACAAATCACCCAGTTGGCAAAATTCTGATTTCCAGAGATTTATGAGTCCCCAAATTTCTTCTCTGTTATCTTCCCTGCCCAGTTCCTGGCTCCCTGAGCCTAGATGGGTAAGATTCTAAGCAGAGGAAGGATGAGTTATGGTTAAGCCTTGAAAGAGCCAGGGGCCAAGTTATCTGCACTTAGTAAGTGCTGGAGAAATTCCTTGAGTGGCTGTCTGTCACCTCCTGTCTGTAGCATCTACACTGAACCCAGGGGTGTTGATTTGGTTCTTCCTGTTGTCTGCCCTTCAAGGCAGATGGTCTCCACTAGCATAATCTTATTGCTTAGCACTATGGGGCTCCAGGGCATTTCCTGCCCAGGGGATGTTTTGAGAATCAGCCCCTGTTAAATCCCCTGTGCCTAGCGACCCTCATAGATAGACACCTCTGGCTTTAGTGCATACTCCAGCCCCAGGGGTCCCAGCTCTCACCTGTTGAGAGCCTGACAGGGGGTGGTACCCGGAGCAGATGTCATGACAGTAGCTCTGACCTAGATGGGGTCCACAGGACACTCAGGGAGAAGTACTTTGAAAAGAGAAGCCACATCCAAGGGGGTGAGGCTGATGAGGGAAAGGGTCCCAGAGGTGAGACTGTGGAGGTTCTGTTTGAAGTTTGTGGCAATGGTTAAAATGCGGATTGTGGGAAAGGCGAAGAAGCAGGAATCACGTGCAGTTTTCATTCATTTCATGTATCTAGGCTGTATGATCTCTCAGACTATACAGTCACCTAAGCAAGGTTGAAATGTTCTGGGTACAGCTACGGTACAGAATTTATGCTAACAGATCTCTCTCTCTCTCTCTCTCTTTATTCCGGGCCTACAGCTAAGGCAAAAGAAAGGTGAGCCACTTGCCCGCTGCTCTGAGTCACCCTGTGTCCTGTGACTTCATTCTCCAGCACCAGCCCCTCCTTGAGTGTCCGTGCCCTCTCTTGGCCCTTGCTTGTCCTTTGCTCCCTGGCACTTACGGTGCAAGCACATGCAGTTATACCGGGGATGTCTGCTTGCTCTGTAGGGTCTTTCGTTTTCTCTTATTTTTATTTGTTAAAGAGATCATAAACGGAAAGCTATGAGGACAATGGTCTGGTCCCGTGTTCCATCACGGGGAAAAGCTTGATTGGTTCCTTTGTTGCAAAAAGATCAAGGTTCTTGTTGCGCTTGAGATTTCATCATCAGCTTCAAAGAGAGTGCACTGATCAAAATGTTGTCTGTTTTATTTTAGTTTTCAGGATGAAAATTTAGTGTTTGAGGAGTTTGCTCGCCAAAATCTGAAGGATGCAGAAGCCGATGAAGGGAAGAAGAACAAGGAGGCGGACGATGAGTGAGGCAGGAATGGCTGGGGCCACCAGCATGAGCAGCAAGGCCCTGCAGACGCCCCTTAGAGTTAGCTCAACGCCGAAGTATGAGTCTCCTTCCCAGAAATAAAGTCTCATGAGTCAGGCCGACTTGTTGGGGAGGCTGAGCTGATGCCGCTGACGGAGAAGCTGCTGCCTTGAGGGTCCCCAGAGGTGGGGGACAGCATCTAGGAGGGAGGCCAGCCTTGCACAGAATGGCTCAGCGCTGACCCAGCAAGACAAGAAGACGTCCAGAAATCAATGTGCTCACACGGCTGGGCTCGATGTGTCCGGGGGGCTTTCCCGGGGGGTCCTGGTCTGCGCTGTTTCTCTAGGAACATAGTGGGGTGTGTTTCTAACTACCTGGCCAATCCTAGCTCCAGGGCCCCTGAAGAGCCTCCTGAGATAAAGAGGGCAGAGAACAAGAATGAGCAAAAGTACCTGTTGTTACTGATTCAGCTTTTGGGTTTGAGTCCCAGTTTGGGCTTAGGGTTGTTGGTTGAGTTTCTGTTGAATGCAAGCAACAAAATCAGATTTGGTTAACCTCAGGGGAAGAAAGGAATGTATTGGAAGGACCCTGGGGTACTCAGAAAACGGAACTGAAGGAAGAGCCTGAGCTGCTAAACCTGGGATGAGGAGAAACCAGAGGAGCCCCAGGGGTCTCAGACCAGGAGCTCAGGGACTTGCTCTCTGGTGTGGCCATGCATGTGGCTCAGCACCAACCACTCCCAGTCTCTGCATCTCTAGGTCCCAGTTTGCAGTTCCTGGAAGGAGAATCTGATGGGCTCAGCCTCTGCCAGGTGTATAAATACCCTGTGGCCAACCATGGCAGATCCCAGCCCTGGGAATGGATTGTCCCAGAAAAAGGGATTCATTGTGAGCCAGACGGTCTTCTTGATTAGAGTGTGTTTTGCTGTGGGCTGGCCAGTTAATTCTCTTGGTTAGAGCATTGAGCTGATAACACCAAGGTCAAGGACAAGGATCCCCTTATTGGCCTGCCACCAAAACCAAAAAAAAAAAAAAAAAAATGTGTGTGTCACTAAAATTGGGCATGAAAGGGGTAGGGAGAGAGGAAGGTGGAGCTGAAGCAGAGGAGGGATAACAGAGGTGACACCTGGGCTCTTTCCTTCATGAGGTTCCCTTCCTGGCCCGTGGTACCCACCAGCCTGGAGGCCTGCCACTGATAGCATAGAGACTGAACAGCTTTCTTGGCAGCCATGGAGGGGCTTGGGAGATGTGTAGGCTCTCCATGCTTTAAGGGAGCAGGACAAAGAGGTTTGGAGGTTTCTCCATAGTTTAACCCACTCACAGAAGGCAGTGGGGTGAAAGGAAGGGAGTTATGTGGGGGGTATACATTTGGGATCAGGTTTGTTGTTTTTTTTTTTTTTTTTTTAAAGATGACTGGTAAGGGGATCTTAACCCTTGACTTGGTGTTGTCAGCACCACGCTCAGCCAGTGAGCGAACCGGCCATCCCTATATGGGATCCAAACCCGGGGCCTTGGTGTTATCAGCACTGCACTCTCCCGAGTGAGCCACGGGCTGGCCCTGGGATCAGGTTTCAAGCAGAGGGCTGGACAGGGCATGGGTTCCCTGCACTTGAAGGCTCCCAACATCTGGGGTTGTTCATTAGGATTCTGGGCTGGTTTGTGTCCTAGGGACGTATTTAGACAAGGAGGCTCTACTTGAGAACCTTGGATGGGATTCCACATAGACCAAGCAAGGTTTGGACCTGTGAATTGACTTTGAGGCTTCCTAGCATTGGCAGGGATGAAGACTCATTTCTGGAACTGTAGTAACAATAATAATAACAACAACAATAATAATACACGTAGAAGATTGATCCTTTACCCTATGGGTTAGTCAGATACAGTCTCATTCTTTTTTCTTCCGTGATACAGTGTGTTACCACTTCGGCCTCGACCCATCTCTCACGGCATCCAGGCAAAGGGACAATCAGGCTGGCACGCTCCTCTGGGGATTTCCTAGGCTGTTCACTGTCACGCTGAGCCTTTTCCCCACCCTCCACCACAGCGCATAGGCCTGTGGCGGTTCTCTCCTGCTGGAGCTCTTGCGCTAGCCAGGGGCCTGGGATTCTGTTCTGCAGTGCCTCGTGAGAGGACCAGCCTGTTGGTTCCTACATTGCTTGACCCCAGGACATCCTAAGTCAGGGTGGATGTTAATAGGCCTGACCTTTGGAACTGTGTGGGTGGGAGAGCCAGAGGGAAGGGTTGGAGAACCAATCCCTGAAGACCAGAGGTCAGATCAGCCCTTGCCCTCCAAGTTATTTCAGTACCAAAACATCTCAATACAGACCTGCAGGTGCTGGCTTGTTTACTGACTGCAGCTGGCCACCCTGAGGAGGGACTGGGGACAGGAAATGAGTGGGGACAGGAAGCTAGCGGCCAGCTGCCCCGAGCATGCGGGATGTGGAACCGTGGCTCAGCTCAGCCTGCACATTGTGGCGTTGTCTCTGCTGGTGTGCAGACTCTCTGTGTCAGGAGGCAGGAAGTCTGTGCGCAGGTTGAATGTGTGGCCCAGGTTGGGGCAGGTGCAATGCAAGAAACGGTACAAAGGAGTTGAGGGTGCTGTACGGAGAAAGTGGTGGCTGAGAACTTGGGACAAAGTTCTGCAACCACAATCAAAGGACTGGAGAAGTAGAGATCCCTGCCATTAACTGAGTGCCTGCCTTGTGCCAAGCACTTCACACGTGACATTTAATCATTCCAACAATGCTCGTAAGTCGGGACCGTCATTCCACTCTGCTAGATGAAGAAATTGCAGTTCAGAGAAGTTACATACCTTACTCAAGGTCACACAGCCAGTGAGAGTCAAGACTTGAACTCTGGTTTCCCTGAGTCTATAACAGTCCTTTGCCCACGTACGGTGTGGTCAAGGGGAGTTGGGAAGTTTGGAGGGTGAGAGAGGGGAGATGAGCATTTATGATTCAACAATGGCTGCCCTTTTTTAAGTTCTTTTTTCAAATGAAGTTTTTATTGAGATAATTACACGTTCACATGCAGTCATAAGGAATAATACAGAGAGATCCCACGTACCCTTTACCCGATGCCCCCAGTGGTAACATCCTGTGAAGCTGTAGCGCAACGTGACAACCGGCACATTAACACTGGTACCCTCCACCATCTGAATCAGAACAACCCCATTTTACTTCTGCTCATTTGTGTATACTCTACAATTTTATCATGTGTGTAGTTAACTTCTTTTAATGTCTGTTTTCCTACTCCTTTAACATTTTTTACT